GGCGAGCAGCTTGGTTGCTTAGCCGCAGAGTGCAGGCAACGGTTTTGCGGTGGTGTTGCGGTGGTTCCTCTAATCCCACGGCCAACCTGTGCCGCTTTTGCACTCAAGAGCACACGCAAATACCCACTACTTACACCAACAAACACGCTCACACACAAGCGCACACACACACACACACACACACACACACACACACACACACACACTCGCTTCTCCCAGAGGACTGGATCACCCGGGAGCTCGACACCGCCACTGACCTGGACATCGCCCAAGCGGCCGGCCACGTGATCTCTGGCGACATGTGACCGCCGCCCGCACCCCCCAGCATCTGCTTGCTGTTTCAGATGCACGCTGCCGCGCCCGCCCGCCGCCGGCCACGCGGCGCCACGGGCGGGGGTTGTCGAGGGGGAGCAGGGGGATGTGCGCGCTTCCACCCGGCTCATGTTGTGTGCGCCTCCGCGCAGCCCCCGCCGCCCCTGTGGGCGCCTGCTCGTGGCGCTGCCCCGCCGAGCAGGGAGCCAGCGGCAAGAGGCGCGAGGGCTCCCCGGGTGTAACAAAAAGGCGCTTATATGCAGAACCCGGCCTTTCATGCAAAAAGCGACCTTACGGTACGATTCGTGCAACTTGGGATGTTTGCCCATTTGCCTCAAAGCAGCCGCCAAGTAAGCCTTCGAGGTGCCCATAAACATGACCAGATCATCATGCCCACGTCCCTAAGAGTAGCTGCGGCATGCTGGGCGGCCCCCAATGCACTGATTGTGCTGCGCCGAACCACGAAACACGACTCATCCTGTGCGCTTGGGTACATCAGAGCTTGCATGCATCATTCACCTAGGCTGATATGACTGTTCGTGCCGTGCTAGCCATACCAGCTGCCAGCCCCCCCCTGGCGCGTACGGAGCCAGCGCTGCATGGCTCGTGGGTGGTGCGCACACAAACGGCAGTCAGCAGTGCAAAAGGGCAGCCACACGGGCGCCGCAGGGGCGCGCGCCTTCGCTGCGTACCTTACCATTAGTGCAAGGTCAGGGGCTAGGCTGAGAAAGTGACCTCATCATTAAATCAACACCAAGGGCTTGGCAGCCGGCATCTCAAGTTGATGCAACTTTCGCACTGCTGTACCGCACTTGCAGGTACGCAGACGATGTGCCCGAGGTGGCGAAAGTGCCCCAGGAACACATGGGATTGTTGGGGGTGCATTGATGGCGTGAACACACTCTACTAAAAGGTCAACAGCAGTTGTTGGATCACGCAAATCGTTCGGTGCATGGCATGTAGAGATCCTTCCAGGCAGCAAGCCCGTCCACCAGTGGTTGAGGAGTACGCGCGCACAGCAGGGCCTGGTGGTGTAGCCCTATCTGAAGGATTAGGATTGTCACAGCGTCCCGCGGTCGCCCGCTCCTGGAGCCATCCACGCAGGCTCATGGGATTGTCCAGTAAAGCACCAACGTTGTGTGACTGAGATTCAGGTGGCTATCTGAAGGTGCGCAGGCGTGAGCAGATGAATTTAGGCAGCACGCACACACTTGCAGGCTGATTGAGTGCCATACTGCATTATTCCTGAGACATGACAACGGCATTGCTTTTGGATTACTAAGGTTAGTACGCGATGCACACAACGGGCCATATGTTCTGGCATGGTACGCCGAACAACGAAATTCCTACCCAACTGGCATCAGTGACATATGCGAACCCGATAACTGCGACGTCTCCAGCTGCATCAGAGGTGAACCCACGGCATGTAGTTGATGCAGCAAGTCCGCTTGCTACAGTGCCGGACCAAAAGCCGTCCCTAGGAGACAATATGCCCGCAGCCGTTAAGGACTGCGACATGCTGCCATCCAGCAGGCTTGTAAAGTTGCTGGCCAGGACAGCGCCGCCGGGCGACTCGATTGCCAGGCCGCCGGGGAGGCGGTACAATGTGGGAAAGTTGGCAATCTGGTCGGATGAAGATGTTGATAGGAACGCGCGAACCTGCACGAGCCCGGCCGGCCGGTGGAGGGAGGCGCGGCACAAGGCGTCTGCACCAGACCGGCCACCAAGATTGCCGTTCCTGCTTGTCAAAGATTCCCGGTAGATCACCACCCTCGAGCGCAGGTACTGCGCTGCTGGCACGCCCCCTAGCCTGACTGCGTTGATGTTGGCGAGGTCGGCGGTTTTTGCATACACAGTGAAGTCGATGGTAGACATTGTGGCAGACACACTGGCTAATTTGGCTGTCAGGGCAGGAAGGCTGGTGTTGGCCGCTTCAATGGCTGCCGCGCCTGTAGCAACTGTGGACTTCAAGGACTCCAAGGTGGCGTTCGCTAGGGATACTGTCGCCGCGTTCGCCGCCTGTTCCGCCTTGATGGCGGCTAGGGTGGTGTCGACGGCAAACAGCTCTGGGCCGCAGGTGCACTGCTGCTGAGCAGACTTGAGCGCCGCAATGTCCCGGGCCGCTGTCTGGTTTGCCGCCTGCAGCAGGGCGAGCTTCTGGGCGGCGCGCGCGTCGGCTGCTGCAAGGGCAGCGAGCTCCTGAGTGATGATCGTGCCCGGGTCGGTGGCGTTGGCTGCATTTGCTTGCAGCTGCTGCACAAGGGCGCCGAGCGCCGCGGCCGCCGCTTTGAGCTCGACCACCTGGGCACGCAGCGCGGCTGTCTCGTTGCTCTTCTGGACGACGGTGGCCTTCACAGAGCTGACCTGGGCGGCGGCAGCTGTGATCTTGGGCTCGAGAGCTGCCAGGTCACTCGACACTCTGTTGACCTGTGCGGTGGTAGCCACGCCGCAGCCATAGCGCAGCTTGGTGGGGTCCTGGGGGAGTGGAAGTGTGCGTGGCGCTTTGTAAAAGTAAGTGTAAAGCAGCAGCAGCAGCAGCAGTGGAGGTTCAGGACGTGCTTTGCAGTACATTGACGGCCAAGTTGTCGAGAGTAGTACTAGAAGAGCTGCAGCTGCCCTCCTCAACAAACAACCAAGCAAAGCACCACGGTATCGCCACGTGTGTTGGCCTGCAGGCAGTGTGTGTGTGTCTGTGTGTGTAGTGTGTGTGTGTGTGTGTGTGCGTGTGTGTGTGTGTGTG